AGCGGGAGCGTCAGCCGCTTCATCCGTCCAGGGAACTTGCTATCACGCATAGACATCAGCACCAGCACGTGCTTTCTATCGTCTTTTCTATCAGTCATAGAAGCTGCAAGTGACTCGAGTGCGTAACTTGTAAGCGGAAGTACACGAATGCCTGTATCCCTGTCAGTAGAGCTTGGACTAAGAACATCAGGTGCGTCCTCCAACGAAACAGACGAGGTCAAGTTGGTCTCCCTTAGCTGCTGTAAGTATGGCGCAACAAACGTCACTTGATCGCTCTTTACGACATTTTGTGCAGTCTCGAGTTCTCGCAAGAAATCTGCCAGTGCCAAGGACTCACGCTCCTGTTCAGGGGAGCTGGGTTTCAGTAGTGCATCCAGTCGACCAGTGTCCTCCAGAAAACTCTGCACAATTTCAGCTGCAGATAGTTGGTGACACTCAGCACGTAGTCGCTTGATGATATTTACGAACGATTCGGCTATCTCCAAGCCTTTTTCGAGCTGTGAAGACACCGGTTTCGGCAGCTCTAGCTCCTCGCCTTCTCTGTAACTGAGAGAAGTTCCAAGCGACTTGCCCTGACTTTGAACAAAAGCTTCGAGAACTGGAAACAGATCCACGTGACTCCGGTGCTCCTTTTCCATCAGCCAGGACAGCAACTCAGCCGGGAAAGCGAAATAATCTGAACGTAAAACATTATAGAGATGACGTGAGTCACTTGGAAAGCACAATGCGCATAATAGCGAGTACACTGCGTTCACTCCAGGCTCGTCGAATAAATGGACAGGTGCACCAGTGGAGCTAGTTGCAGCCGCAAATTGATCGCCAATCATCTGCACTGGAAGCCCCTGCTTCTTGAATGCCAGCGTGATTCGATTCGCGTCGGCGTGTGTGGGGCACAACACAGTGGCCTGGGTAGTTTTATCAGACTGCAGCTTTTGAGCTAGAAAAGCACCAACACTCCTTTCCTCCGCTTCAGAGGTACCGAAATTCCAGCACTTTAAAGGAATCGGAGCCGGTGTAGAGATATCTGCTTCCTGCGTCAAGATCTGTTTCGCAAAAGCTTTCATCTTTGCTCTTTTATCGGCCATTTCATCTGTCTCCAAGGCAAGACGGGCCACACTTCGTTCACGACCTGTACACGATGCTGTCTTCAGTATTTGCTGCTCTAAAATTCGCGTCTGTGGACACTCGTCTCCGTCAAGCAGTACGCGACTGAAGCTGGCACTGGACTGCACACTAGGTTGACCACACAAATGCCCAACAAGCGTCGCCATCGCCGGCGTCATCCTCTGAACATCGTCCACCACCACGTCCGTATACTCCTTTAGTACCTCCCGGCTAAAATCATTGGTTGTAGCTTCCTGCTCTACTACGCTTCCCTTCTGCACTCCACACAGTTCCAGCGCATCCATCACCAGACCGTCCCAAGAGGTGGCATTGTGCTGCATCAATAGCTCCTGGTATTTCCTGTACGTCTCTGCCAGTTCCTGAGGTGCCTGCTCTCCAGATGCAATAGCCACGGTCGCGTATTGTTCGGGCGTGACTCCCTCCCGTTCCAGCAACCGAAAGAGCTGCAGCAAGTCAAGTACTCCTTTGCGTCTCTGCAGTGTCGACGAGGCCGCGAGTCTTGACGCACCCGGTAGCTCCATTCCGTTGTGCAGCAACAGTGCTGCTAGTTGAGCGTGGTCGAAGATGCGGCGTTCGCGACCGCTCTCGCGCAGCAGCAGCTGGCTGAATTCGCGTACACCAAAGACTCCGTGGCCACGGCGCTCCAGCTCAAACGCGGGAGAATCTTGCTCAAGTGCCACGCGTACAGGTGAGTCGGATGAGCTTCCAGTGAGCAACAGGACGCGACGCTGTGGCTGCTGTAGAAGCCATCGCATGCGCTGTAAGGCCTGGAGGTTGGGCACAGTGGTAACCAAGCTGTGGTGCACGATGTTGGGACTTCCAGGGAGAGATGAGACGTCAGATGTGGATGCATTGAGAGAGGATACGCTGGAGAATAAGCGGCACGTCTGACCAACTGATGGCCAAGCCTTACGTAGGAGAACGTCGCGCCGCAGCGACCGTCGAACGACAGTGAGCTGCCGAGCCATTTGGCTGAGTGATCCGATGGACGAAAGGGTGTCAAAAATGAGTGTTTATGCATTTAACCTTTTTTGGTGGCCAAAATGGGTTTATATTATCCACTTCAACGTGACCAAATCAAATCTACTGCACGAGATTCGCTGTTGGCTGCTTGGCATTCCATAAGTCGTGCATCCAGAGATACTGCTCTGGGTACTCGAGCACCAGTCTCTCCAGCATCGATGCGTATGTCTGTACGACCTCGGTTGCGTGTTCCTGAGCCGTTGTCGCTGTGGTTGCTGCATTCATAGAGATCTGGATTGGAAGGAAGGCAAACAGCGGTCAGCTAGAAAATAAAAACTGCAAACAACTATCGCAACGTGGTCATACTGGTCGCAACACGAGATGGAAGGGCTTCTCACTCGGATCGGACGACGCGTAGAAGCGCTTGTTGTGCAGCACCGACGTAAACCAAAGCGTTGCTCCTGTCTCCATGTGCAATCGAGCTGCACCAGTCGCCATGTGTGTGGGCTGACCGAGAAACGTCACGGTCGCGCGTGTACGTTCACTGTTGCAGCGCTGATCTGCTACAAGCCCGACCAACTGTGCAGCATTGCCATTCGCATTAGGACGTTGAAGCACGTCGCGAAGAAGTCCATAGCATTTCTTGTCCTGTAGATAGGATCAGCATTAAAGCAAACCATGTGAGTCGAACTTTAATAGAGATCTGCACCAAGGTGCCAACGCACCGCAATGAAGCGCCTGCCAGGTGCACTGCGAATCGAGGCGACCAGATCATCCAGTGCAGCATTATGAAGGGGACGATACACAATCCACTGCGTCTGGACAGGTACAGCTGGACGCGCCAATGCCGCCGGAATAATCTCCCAAAAGCCTGTAATGCAGGCACCGGTTAGTCGAGTAGGGCACACGCAATTTCTAACATGGCTATATTCAACACACCAATATGCCCAGTCGTAATAATTGCATGTGATGATGTCTGCCCGTTAGCTAGCACTGTCCTCATGGATGCTAAGGACTCTCGGGTGTCCTCATCCAGTGAGATCGACGTTTGTGGATTCGCCACTCCATCAAGTCGAAGAAGCCACAGCAGTGACAGCGCTGCATACGTGTACGAGTCACGCGCGACGCGATGTCCATCATCGGATGGTAGTCCAGCCGCGATCCGATCGAGCACCACGCGACGACGCAGGCGAATAACTAAACGCCACGTCCCATGCAGGTTAGTAACCACTTTCTGGTGGTCTCGGTGCAGCGTGATCTCCCTTACCATAATAGAAAATACCACCGAGCGCCTTCGCCGTAACCCAGAGCATCCGGTCTGGAAGCCTACGCGCCAGCAGCTGCAAGCCCCGCACCGCCAAAGATGCCCATTGTGTTGAAAGACTTGATCGCCCTGGTGCTGCCGTCGCAGGCTGCCAAGCGCTCACTCCAGTCTTCATCCAGCCGTCGCACGCCCGCCAATCAGAATGTGGCCTCTAGCATTGGCCCCGTCGCTGATTTGTCCACATCCCGTAGGGCCTACGACAGACCCACCAAGTACTCCGTCTCGGAAGAAGAGCGGGCCAAGATGGACACCTTCGTCTTCTTCACCATGATGCGGTAGAGCAGCGTGTAGCGCTACATTATCGATTACGACGACGGGTTTCTAACCGCCAATACATCGCCAAATCTCGCACTACCTCATCTGTGTTTCTCTCAGTTGTTGCCTGCTATAGACAGCTTGCATCACAGCGCTTCCTTCGTCTTAGTTTTCCGCTTACATGCTCTCCAACTGTTCGATTCCACGGTTGTCAATCAGTTGAAGTGAGCTGTCACGGCCATATTCGTAATACTTCGAAGAACCTTGTTACAAATTACAGTATCCGTAGCCATCCAGTGAGATCAGCTGCGAAACTGAGAGAGAACGCCACGCCGTCATGCTCCAGAGTGGCGCCCGTCACTAGCCGACAGCATCCACCCCCAGTGCATCCAGGCCAAGCCCCCAGTTCCATTGAAGCAGTAGCCCATGTACCATGTAGCGGAGATGGTCCGTGACGCCCGGCGTGACATGGCGGAGCGTCATGACGGCGCGTCGCCCGGTTTCGTGTGGAGTACGCTGTCGGCCTTCACGCCCTTCCCGTTCCTGCTGGCCCTGTGCGGCCAGATCTCCAGCAGCCTCGTACGCCGTGCCCCCGATCTGGTGAAACGTGCAGCCGGCGCAACGCGTGACTGTGTCGTGGATACTGCAACGCAGACGCACGACCGGATCGTGGAGCTACGCTTGACATGCACCCGCACAGGCCAACGACTGTTCTACCGCATCAAGGTGAAGGTGGAGACCACGCGACTCCCGGGCCCACTCACCCCACTTCAGAGTCAAGTGGCCGTGCCCTTCCTGCGTGGCGTCGAGGGGTTCGCGCAGTTCGTGACCAGTGAAGAGCTGCCGGAGCTCTACTTTGTGGCCAAGAATTCCATGCGACGCAGCTTCTTCTTGAGGCATGTGGTGCTGCCGCCATTGGGAGCGGCTGAGAGTGTAGTGAGATACGTTGTCATCTTTCCCAGTCATATCGTGTTCCCGTCCAGAGCCGAGATCGAAGACAGGACGGACTTGTTCTTGGAAGGAAGCACAACGCGTGTACAGGCGCTGGTGGAGCATTTGTACTCGGCCACAGAAGTACTGGATCAACACTTGAGTATGGTGCAATGGAACATTCTAGGACGAGGACCTTACGAGTCGCTGAGTGCTTCAAGACGCAGTGAAGTGATCAGATCTGTGCATCAGAGGATGCGCATCATCGCGTCGCACTACAAACTGTTCGAGTTCTTGGCTACTATCAAACTACAAAACGAAATGTTGTACTCTGACCTACAGCGCGAGTTCCCGGACGCAGGCGGTGTCCCTCTAACCCCGAAACAGGTTGCAGCTAACGAAGCCCTGACGGCTGAACTGGCGGAACAGGATGCAAACGCATTCCCTATTTGGTTTTACAAGAAGGTTGACATTACGAGTGGAAATGGGCAAGTATTGCCCAGTGGATTGAATGGACGTACCAAGTCAGCGTCGGATACTACCAGTACAGCTACCCAGTCTACCAATTCAAGTGTCAATGCCAGCACTACAGGCGTATCGGGGTCAGGCGGTTGGATTGAGTTTCCAGCTCACGAGGGTCGTCGACTTGAACGCAAATATCGATGGTATCAGCAACAGAAGAGCAAGATTCCAGGCCCCACGGGGCCTTCCAGCGTCGTTTTAGTGGACGAAGGTCGGCATGAAGTAGACTTGGAGAGCATGCGTATGACGCCGGTGTACTGGCCAGCGCTAGAGGAAATTATCGTGTGTCGTTCTCGTTGGGTCTACGCTCAACGCAACTACGGTCTAGCTCCATACAACACAGAGGCAGCGACAGTTCTGGAAAATGCTTTCGTATATTACTTGGGGCTGTACGCGCTCGAGAAGCAGCGACTGATGGATATCGAGGCACAGAAGCCACGTGGTTTCTTCAGCTCCCGTGCCAGTCTCACTGAGGCGGTTCTGGCAGCTCGGGTTGAGAAGGACTGCACTCTTAGCATCCCAGTGGAAGGCCACTTGGTGGAGTTCAAAGGCCCGCAGGACATCATGCAGTACAAGCGCTTGTTGGCTGGAACGACGCCATTTACGAGTAAACGTCGTGTGTATCGTGGAGATCCGCGTGTTCGTGCTGATCCCAGTACCTTGCAGCTCTGGAAAGATGCCATGGAATGTGATCCAGCTACAGGTAATGCGCTGAAGGTAACTGAGGATGACAAGGACATTGAAGAGGAGATCGAGCATCTTGTACTGATCGTACATGGAATCGGTGACGCGCTGAAGACGCTTGATCTGATCAATGTGGTGACGCTGCGCTCTATCATCGATTGCTCGACAACACTACGGGAGTTGAACCGTGAAGCTCTACGCTCGGCGCACTTCGCTCACTTGAATGGAGAAGACGCGGAAGATGCCACTGAAGACGACGAGAAGAAGGCTACACGCCAACCGCGTGTGGAGTTCTTGCCTATTGAGTGGCACTCGAAGCTGCACATGGAGGGTCTGGATCAACTCATTCGAGACGTGACATTGCCGGCCATCCCTAAGCTTCGTGAGCTGGCCAACGACACAGTTCTGGACGTGCTCTTCTTCATGTCGCCTTTGTTCCACCAGGTCATTTTGGACGAAGTGGCCAAGGAAATGAACCGCGTGTTCACACTCTTCCAGTCGCGTCATCCAGACTGGATGGAATTGAGTCGTCCAGGTGGAGGGAAGCGCAAGAAAGTGTCAATTGTTGCCCACTCGCTTGGATCCATCATCTGCTTTGATATTCTCAATCATCAGCAAGTGTACATGCAGCAATCGGAAGGCACACGGTGCACGGACGACGAAGGCAGCAGCGACGAAGAAGACGTGGACGGGGACGAGGATGGTAGCAGCACAAGTAGCGACGATGGAGAAGTCGCAGTCAATGGCGTGCCGACTGACAACATGTTCGGCTTCGATAACGTCGTTGCCAATCGGAGTTTGAAGCGCCGCTCACGGTCGATGTCGGAGATGTCAAGTACGAACGGAACGTGGAGAAACTCGCCACATTCATTGCATCAGACGGATCAGGAAAAGCAAGACTCCATTCGACGTGTGTCTCCCAAAACCCGACGCACCGGCAGGACTATGGCGTCTCGCCATAAAAACACGGCTAAGAAGACCAAAGCAGCGAAGAAGCACACACTTCCTGCATCTAGTGCTGTCCCAACTGGAGTCAATGGCGCTGTCCCGTTGGTCCCAAAGCTTGCGTTCGACGTGGAAGATCTCTTTTGCTTCGGCTCGCCCGTGGGTCTGTTTCTTAATGTACGTGGACAGAAGCTCGATCGCGACTTCCAGCTGCCGCGATGTCGTCGAGTATTCAACATTTACCACCCGTACGACCCGGTGGCGTATCGTATTGAGCCCATTATGAACCCGGCGCGCGCTCACTCGAAGGCCGCGATCATTCGCACGTTTGAGGGCAAGTTGCGCTTCCAGTACCAACTGCGTAACTCGTTCCGAGCCATGTGGGCTTCGCTTCGTCAGTGGCGTCGCGACTTCGAGCGCCAAGTGCTAGCCGGAGCGCACAGCGTGGGGCTGGTGGAAAGCCCTGCTTCCATGACGCCGCTGTCCGATGCGCTTGCTCTCGTAACACAACCGTATCAATTGCAACGGCGTCCGGACGAGGTTCAGGAAGAGCAGCAAAGAGAGGAACGAGAAGGCGATGAGACTACAGAGAACGTCGCGGTGTTCGGTCGGCTGTGTCAAGGTCTCCCCATCGATTACTCGCTCCAGGAGAACGAGATCGAGATTGCGAACGAGTATTTATTCGCCCTCACGGCGCACGTCATTTATTGGAACAACCGGGACGCGAGTCTGTTTGTGGCACAGAAGCTCATTCTAGAGCCGGCCATTGAGAACTGGCCCAGCAGCAGCGAGCAGGAGGCACCGGTGGAGCGTTTGGAAGGCCAGGAGACGCGGCAGATCAGCAACGGCATAATTATTAGCAGTGAAAAGCTGCGCGAGAAGGAGGAGGCGACGGCTTCGTCCGAGGTGTCCTCGGGCTCGGACGACGAGTTCGAGGTCTCGCTGCGTCGAAGAAGACGTGCACTCTAGGAAAATCGTATTGAAGTTAGTAAACGTAAGTAGACGGACATGTTGCAGTCACTGCAAGGCGCGTGTCGAGCGGCGAACGAGATCCGATCACGGCAACAGCACTGCGCTGTGCGGAGTTCCATGCCGTAAGCACAGCTGGCTCCCTGAAAGCTGCACACTGGACATGCCGTTCATGGCGACGCCGCGGCGTGTCCGACGCCACCGAGATGCGCGTCAAGCATTGTGCCCCTTGCGCTAATCAAGAGTGATTAAGTCAACACGCGCTGCAAATCTAACTCAGCTCGTGCTTCAGACAGACCGGACGTTCGCGCCGACACTGTTGACCCACGTCAACGTAGGCAGCCAAACTTTAAGCTTGATTACCGTAGTGCCGGAGCGGCGCCAGAGCAAGGAGAGGATCCCTTGATGGGGCCTCAACGGATTGAGCTCCTCGGACCTCGAGGAGGAATTTGAAGCCACCTCAGCCCGGCTGCGTCAAGTAGGTCAGCGCATCAAGCGACTGCAAAGCCGCCATCTCGGGCCTCGGCGTGTTCGCCTGCTGCAAGAAGTCCAGTCGGCGAAGCTGGCGCAGGATTTGCGCGGTGACGCTCACCGTAAAGGCGCTTGGCGGTTCGATTAAGCGAGCTGCGTCCTCGTCGCTTGGCGCCAAAGCGCCGAGCTTTGACCAAGCTCCGGTTGACGGCCAACATGGAGTCAAGCAACCGGCACGCCACTGCGGCCGAGCACAGTGCGGGATCGGCAGGTCTGCATATATCGGCGACGCTGCTTCAGCTGGTCGTTCTCTCGCTCTTCAAGCTGACTTCCCTCAGCAACAGCACCGCGATTTGAGCAAGGGGCATGTTGAAGCGGGCGAGGATCACTGCAAGCTGCTTCAGTCCAAACTAACCAGGCCGGGAGGTCGAGAATGCGCCGCCACAAGCTGGACCAATGCAATCGCTGTTGGCGTAGGGACCCGCTGGTCGAGCTTGACCTCGTTACTTACCCCTCGAGCGGACGACTGCCCATATGCGGCGCTTGAACTGCGCGAACAGCAGCAACCGCGGACCTCTCCTCGCAGTGGAGACCTTTACGGTGTCAATTCAATCGGCTGTTGTTGACACTCGCGAGGATGGATGGTAGTCATGGGAAATGAACGATCTACAGTATTGGCGCCACTCGGTTGGGAAGCCGGCCGTGTGAATCATAGTGTGATTGATCTCCAAGAGGGTCCTTCTTCCCGGTATCTTTGACAGCTTCACTTGACTTGCGGGCAGTTCGATGACGTTGTGCCTCAACCTCCCGGCACACCACTTCCCGCAGCGTGTAGCAGACGTGGGATCGAGCCATTTCTGCCTGGCGCACCACACCGAAATGCTACAACCGAAATGGGGAAGACGAGAGACTTACACCTTGGTGGCAACTGCCAGTGGCATGCTGGCCAAGTCGACCACTTAGCCCAGCATCGCTTCGGTGCTGCAAGGCAGAGCTGGGTTCGCGATGCTCGTGTTGCCATCGGCAAAGTGTGCCCGACCAGTGCTCGTGAATAGATATGCAAAAAAAAGTGTGCAACTTCAACCTCGTCTTTGTTGATCAGCGTTCTATTTCTCCTCGCGTCGAGACAGTTGTAAAGCCTCGTCTATAGTGGCGTTTTCAAAGTGGATTTATTCCCTGTTCTTTCGCGCTGCTGTTGCGCTGTCCAGACGTATTTCTGGTCTACCGCTGCGGCCTTATAACCGTGCTGTAACTGTTTCGCGTCGAACGGGCGCAATCGAATGGACAAAGAGATCCAGTGGCGACAACAAATCGGCGGAGACTCTCCTTGATCCGACTATGAAGTCGAGGCGTGGCCGCTCGGCCAGCGTGGCGCCCAGCCGGCGCAAAGCGCGGTGATCTTCACAGCAGTCGTTGCAGTTTGTTACTCGCGGCTGCGGTGTGGGCGTAGGTCCGTGGCCCTGCTACATGTACTTTGACCTTTTACGATGCCTCTGGCCAGCCTCCGACCTCTGTATGCACTTGTTGCGGCCACGACCATCGCCTCGCAACACCTCGGCAGTCGCAACTGAGGCTAGAAATGGTGCCGTTCTCGACTGGCGCGGACAGCCTCGTTCGATCCGGAGGTTAGCCCTCGGGAGCTCGGTGTGCGATGGGTGTGGGCCGTCTGTGTCCGTTGCCAACAGGAAGAGTGTCCTCCCCGGCAGCCGATCAGTAGGAGCTCCACCAGCTGACTGGCTCGTGATGCTCATTTTCTCTCTTTCCCTGTCAACGCTCGCAGCGCTCGACGGAGGCAGAACTGTAGCAGTTGCTTGCCGTACGACGTCGCAGTAGGCGAGATCGAAGGTGTCATTAGTGCTCCGGTGCTGAACGCGTGGCACCGCACGGCAACAGACCAGACGCAGTGGCCAGAGCCATGGTCGCGCTTCAACTCGAGCAGCGCGCGACTGCATCTTCAACCGCCGTCCTGCACGCCTTGATGTCTTCGTGGAGCGATATTGGAGACAATGAACACCAGCAGCAGCGCCGCAGGGAGTACGCCTACACTGACGGATTATCAGCTTGCGCGTCGGCGTCGGCTGACCCGGCCAGTGACAGCGTGCACCAAACCGGCACTAGCTACAGCTCCAATAACGCCGGCGACGGACCTGAAAAGACCCGCGACCGCAAGAGCTGGTTTCCGCGCTTTAAATCCAACTGGTTGGGCACCTTCCGCTCCAAGCAAATGTTCCACTGCTGTGAGTGCGCCGTAGTGCCACCGACCAGCGGCAGCTCGCTCTCGAGCCAGGCGGGCCGCTATAAGGGCGCAGAAGGGAAACACTGCCGCTGTGGCAAGGACCAGTGGCACCTCGCCAAGTCCGTGGAGGAGACTGAATACAACCGTCGCATGGAGATCAGCAAGGCGCTGGGCGGAATGCGTTACGATGAGGCCGTGCTGCGACTACGGAGCATGGGCCAGTCCGAGCTGGACTTCAAGCCGTCGGAGCACATGATCAATGCTGGTTCACCGACTCAACTGCGCAGTACTCGAAGCTTTGCTCCGGCTTCGTCTTCGGCCACCTCGAACCCGCCCAAGCGCGTCCGTAGCGTGTCAAGCGGTCCACTCCCTACGCCCGTCACGCGGACGTACGCTGCCCCACAATTCGTGAAGTCCGAGTTATCAACGCTGCCTACGATGTCTTCTCATATGTATGGGTACGAGAACCCAGCCAAGCAGTACGGATCATACGCTCCAGTGTACGGCAACAACGGCATCGAGTACACGCAGGCTGCGCAGCCGCACCACCCGTCGGAGTACGAACATCTCACGCCGGCACCTTTTGGCGACGAAGAGGGCTTTGGCGAGCTTCTGCAGGGTATTCTAGAGGACGACTCTCGCGTAGCTGCGGGTGCGACCATGGGTCTCAGTCCGAACCAGGCGAACGCGTACGCTGGGGCCCGGTACGGCTATTATACCGGGGCACCGGCAGTGAACGGCAGTGTAGCGCCATTGAAGCGCACGATGAGCATGCCGTCGTATGCCATGACGCCTTCTATGATGGCCTCGCCGCCTCGCGAGGGCTCGGAGCAGGAGTACTATGATCCGACACGCCGGGCCAGTTTGAACCAGGCGTCCGCTTACGTCAACTACCAGCAGCATGCCCCGCAACAACAACAAACCATGTTGCAGCAGCAATTCCCTTACCAACCGCAGCAACCGCAGCAGGTATACAGTCGGTCGCTGTCCATGACGCCGAGTACCATGGCGACTGCGACCGCCACATCAACTTCATTTTCTGCATGAGCTGTGAGGATCAGCGTATAGTAAGTAGTTCAAGTAGCTAAATGGCCGAACGGAGGCGGGAGCTTAAGATGAGACTCTATGTAAATGCAAGCGTGCCTGTGTGTGCGTTGTTTTGACTGTCTACTCCCTAGACGACTTGCACTCTCATCCTTTTGCTCTTGCTATTCTACGCCTTTGAAGGTACGGCCACGAATTCCCGGCTCTGCGTGAGCTTGTCGTCGGGTTCCTTCAAGAAGGTCTCTAATAACGTGTTGAAGCGTTCGGCTTCGGACAGCACAAGATCATGGCCAGCTTCCGCCAGCACTTCGAGTCGGGAATGCATGATGCGCTCGCTCAGGTACTCGCCGTGGAACGAAGGCACGAACTTGTCCTGGCCGCCGGACACCACCAGCGTCTTGCACTTGATGTACGGCAGATGGCCGCAAATGAGATCGCCGCCGTCCTCACTCTCCACCTGGCGAAGCGCTTCCAGCATCTCTGGTGTAGCAGCAAAACATTAGCCACAAAACAATGCAAAACGAACAGGTCCATGCACGTACCGGCCCACTTGTCCTGCAGGTTTTGAGCTCCGAACTTGGCTTCTGCTGCCTCGCGCATCTCCTTGGGCCACGTGTTCACGTCCGCATGCTCCTCCATGTCCTCCAGGTCCTCGTCGCTCACGAACGCCTGCAGCACATCACAACAGAGGATTTTTCAGACTCCAGCAGCTGCACGTCAGTCTATTCGAGATCTGCGTACGTTGCCGTTCACCAACACTAGACGCGATACTCGCTCAGGTTGTTTGGCTGCTACTACGGCGCTCACATTGGCGCCGTGGCTGCAGCCCAGCAGCGAGAAGTGCTCAAGCTTTAGGGCGTCGGCCGCGCGCAAAACGTCGTCAGCATCACGCTCGACACGTCCGCGTCCAAAGTCCTGCTCAGGTGCGCGTGGGTCAATGCCATAGAGCGCGAAGCTGCGCGTGAGCTGTGCGCTGGTGTATTGCAGACGGAAATCGCTGGCCGCGGAGCCGAAAGTGGACGGCAAACACAGCAGTTTTGGCAGCTCTGAAGCTGCGGAGGTCGGTGTCAAGGCGGACAACGAGGAGTCTGAAGCACCCACAGGCAGTTGTAGACTGCGGAAGCCCGTGGGTGCCGTGGAGAAGCGACGCAGCATCGGGCGTACCGGCAGCATGTCAAAATGGAAATGGATGGCAGGATGGGTAAAGGACCGGTTTATTGTGTATTTTAGCAGAATGGTGTGTGAAATGCACTAGCTCTTGTATACAGCTAGGTTTTCCAGACGAGCACCGAGACTCCCGCTGCGACGCTAAAGTAGACGTACGTCTTGATCTCGTGCGTCACGTAGGCGCCGAAGGACGAGCCGACGACGCAATTCCAGCCGCGGCCATATTCCTTCTCCATATTGCGGCGCACAAACTCGGCAATGGTAGAGAACGTCTTCTCCGACTGCAGACGTACGTTAGGTAGTTAGGTAGTGGCCAAAAACATGCTTTTTCGAGCGTCCAACAAGACGCACCGTGACTTGCAGTTGGAAGGCATCTCTCGCGGTGCTCAATGCCTTCTCGAGCATGGCGTCCGTCATGTCCTCGGCGAACACGACGGTCTTGTAGAACTTATCGTTGCTCTTGCCTGCCATCGACTGCTATAGCGGTGGGGTGGTCGATTTGAAGCGGATATGTAAACGCCTCTTCGAGCGTCAAAGAGGAACCGTCCAAAATGACCATACCGATTGCCCAGTCACTCCCGATTGTACAAGGTGCGCTGGTGCGAATCGATACGGACCGTGCCACGGTAACTTGCCTGTAGAAATAAACCTTGACTATGACATGCAGGCCATGGCACAGACCATGGCTTGTGAGGGGTTTGGCGCGAAACGAACGTGGGCTTCAATGGCGATTACGATCTGCACTTTTACAAGTAAAATAAAAAATCTCTTCAAATTTATGCAAGCTCAAATCGCAATCAGTTTCAGTCACAATTGAGCTTGCATTTAATTTGTATAAGTTTGCAACAACGACACCTAAATACAAAAATCTGAAGCCAAAGTGCAATATCTATTCTCCATCCTTTACCTGGGTAACCTTGGTGGATAGCTAGGTTGTTAAAAGACAGTAGTGCAGCTCTGCAGCTCAGGTGCACTACTGTCAAGAGCGGAAGATAAAGACCCAGTGGGGTGGGAACGGAGATCGGCCTCAGAGAGGTCCCTTGTAACGGATCTGCAATACCCACCACCTAACAATGCCGGAGGAAAAGACTGATGTACGAGTTTGAAGGAAGACAGGTAGTTCAAAGATGTTTACGACAAGGGTTATATAGCAACTCGTTCCAAAAGAGTTGTTACGAAGGCCATTCCGGCGATGGAAAAAGGCAACTGCAATGACCTTCACTCTGTGGCGCCACTCACCGTAATCACTCGACGATCGTGATCACTGATGGAAAAAGAGTCAGCCATTTCCACTGGTATCTTGGCAGCATTTCCTACCTGTTAAGCAGTAAAATCGGTCGTTATAGATAGTTTTGAGATCCACTTTCGGGCCGAAAATTGCACTAAGACAATACGCTATTGCATTGTCGGGTATCAGCCTTCCATTTCTTGCTCTACTTCTTGCCCTCACTTCGTTTCGTATTTCGCATGGGATTCACGTAAGGATGATGTCCGTGTCTAATCATGCGATCACGGAGTATGGATACACTCACAGTCAGTCGATCGTCAAAATCATGCGACATGCTACAAGTTGCTTTCACTATGCTCCGTTGCAACGTCCAGCGGCGGAACGGCAGTTGTCCAGACAGCTTCACCATAAAGCTCATTTTTGAACCGTCCGTTGACCGCACAAGTGCCCCCTGCCTTAGCGCCCGTCACGTCCTCTTTTCAGCACCCCCGAGCAACATGTTGGCCATCACCAGTTTCCCTCGTCGCTTCCCGACCGCCAGTAAGCGGCCCTTACGTCTACCGTCGCAGTTGGTGCGCGCCCTCTTGTCAGCAGACGGCGTCCACGACAGCGTAAGAGACTGTGGCGTGGACTTGTACGCGAGTCTTCCAGGACAGCAGCTCTGGAAGAAGAAGCCACAACGTGTGGTGAGCTGGGGCACGGCACAGGCACCGTGTCCACGAACAGCAAGTTGAAGTTCATCTACGTGAAGCAGATCATTGTCGTCTACAGGAGTAGTACTAGAAGGACTCAAGGGAAGGACCAGTCTAGTTAAGCGACTTTAATCAATTCAGTTTCCATTTTACTAAGAAGTACACAGCTACCAACTACCGGAGCGTGACACCTCTCGTCTGCTACGCGGGACTCGTTTTCGCCTACAGTGGCGACCTCCGTGACTGCTCGTACTTCTTCTCGTGCTTCTCCTTCTCCACCGCAATTGGCCTCGCCATTGTCGGCCTTCTCCTCGCCTGCCAGCAGT